ATTAGTTACTTTTTCGTGTTCATTCACCTGAATGTAGTCGCACAATCCAGTGTGGAGTGGATGGTTAGCTCAGGATGGTTAATGTTAAGTTACGCAGATTGAAACTATCGCACCTAGCTCAGCATTTATCCTAAAATTTAGATTTTTTGACTTGTTCCTAGATGAAACAGTTTTTATCAACTGCAGTGGACTAGGGGAGCTTTGAGCTGTGTTCTCCGATTCAGACTCCGAATTGAAGTTTCACTGATATGAAGAAATCGACTTGACAGAGCATGCGATTTTGAAGCTTCGTGATACTGTAAAGGGTACGGGTACTATTCAGAGGATGTGAAAGTGCATGTGCTCATGGTATGCATGCTCGTTCGTATATGATATGAATGAGGAATATTTTTGGCGTAGTTGTTGTGATGTTCAATTTTGGCTTATTTATTCGATTTTTTCAAACATTTCCTTTGGTTCTTTTATTGGTGTATTTGCTTATTTTTATGCTGCTGATATCGCCGTTTTCATTACAGGTCAACTCTTTGGAACTTTCTCCTTACTACATCAAAATTTCCTCCTCATGCCCTTATCGGCTGTCCAAACTATGAGGCAAATTACACCCTATTAACTTTGACTATCCTACAGCTAATTGAGCCGGAAAGCAGGTGAATTGATTGCTCAATTGAAGAGTAAGAACATACCAAGTGCTGAAGGTTTCCGAAAAATTTCGAAGCACTAACAAATGAAACATTCCAGTTCACCTGCTGCTATTGCTGCTGCTAAATTATAAAGGATATCCAAAGTGAACGAGGTAGTTTTTGCCTCATATCTCTAAGAAGCGCCCTATCAAAAAAAAGTGAAGAACAGTGAATAAGATTTGCATGTGTTATTATTGTGTTCAAGCACATCCGAATCGAACAGCGGTAAACAGACCCAGCAGATCGTTTTCTTTTTTGAATGATTCCCATGTACTTTCAATGAATGGCTCAACGCTTTAGACGTTGTTTTTCATTTCCGAATATTTTTCAAATGTCGTTTTTTGTTCTCTCAAACACACTTCCTCAAACAGTCGAAAAACATCGAGTTTGTTTTTGCAGCACGAGGCAAGGACCAGCGGAGGAGCACAACCGGACGGGTCCTCACCAATGAATACCACCGCAGGTTCAGGTGATGAATCTAGTACGCCAGCACGAATGACCACATCCCATTCGTCATCGGGCCTCAAGACACGTCTCTTCAATGTGCTTGGCATCAAAGATCAACCGCAACAGTGAAAATGTATTGAATAGAATCATTTAGAATCAGTAGCAAATTCAAAATTAAATACCAACAAATTGTTTATTCTGAGAAAACCGAGAAAGAAGTTGAATCGAGTTGAATTCATTTGAATGCA